GATCATAGCTTCCCATCTGGAAGTGCAAAATGAATCTTAGCGTAGCTTCAGCCTTAAGGATCTTTCCCGGGAGTGAAGCACGGTAGCTTCGCAGAGAGCGAAAAGCTGAAGTGTAAAAGCATCCCGTCATGAAAAGGAACCTATACAAAGCATTGGCTCGCTCACTGCTGATGAGGAAGGAGCTGGAGGGGATTTACGTGATTTCTGCCAGAGCAGGAACCCCTTAATAGGCCATTGACTGGAATAAGGAATTACTGAATAAGGAATTTGGCCTGAGTCAGGTTTATCCGAGAAAGTCTAGGCTGAGTGAACCGGTTGGTTCAGTCAGTATTTTGAAAATCAAGTTAGTAGCCTGCCGTTCACGAAGATTCAGTTCAACCCTCTTCCCAGCCGAACATCGCTGAGCTAATTAGCTTAAGCAGTTATTGCTACTAACTGAGGAAGTATAATAGAGTTGCATACTACGACTTCCTTTGTAGCGTCAGGTGAGAAAATCTATCAGGTCCGGAAGTAGAGGAATCAATATCAGTGATAAGATAAGGGTCGCTAAAAAGTGCACCCCTGTTCAGTCGCCCACACACAATCATCATTAATATTAGGTTGTCCGGAAAGTTCTTAGCGTTTTGGGTGTTTAACTTTAAACGATCATAACTTTCTTAACACTCATCGGATTTAATCCAAATAAGCACCATTCGAATCAGCACACTTTTGCCAATGTGGCAGCAGTCGAGAAATCCCATCAAAAAAACTGGGTGGTCGAGAATCCACGAAATCTGCGAAGGTCTTTTTTGCCTGGTCTTAATTGATGAAGTATTTTTCAGCAAGGAAGTTCTGAAAATGTCTGAAAAGGTGACAGTCGGTTGGTGAAAGGTCTAGAGAATATGGTGGGTGAGGTAGAACTTCAACTCCCAATTCGTTCAATTTATGGATAGTGATTTGTGAAACGTGTGGGCGGGCGTTGTCATGCAAAAGAATCGGACCCTTTCTTTTGATAAGTGTTGGCTGCAGCTGACAATATTTTCGGTACATTTGGTCGGTTTGTTCACAGTAGGGTTCTGCTGTGATGGTTTGGCCTGGTGATGAAAAGTTATAGTGGATTACAACAGCCGATGACCACCAAACCTGACCAGAATTTTTTTTTCGCGAGGGTTCGGCTTTGAAAATTACCTCGTGTCCGTCAAATCCAACGCACTGTCCGGACGTTCGTCCTGTTATCATTACTTTGACGGCCATTTTTCATCACAGGTGACAATTCGGTCCAAAAACAGGTCGTTTCTGCTGCGCAAAAGCAATGCAGAAGGAACCTCGAGACGTGCCGATTCCTGCCGGTCACTCCGATTGTGGGGCACCCAATTGTCGAGTTTTTTCACCTTCCCAATGCGTTCCAGACCATCTGCAACAGTGGATTTGCCAAGGCCTAGCTCTTCTGCTATCTCTCAAACTGTTTTTGGGATGGGTCAGCCTCCAAAATCCCCCAATCCTCGTCAGATATTGCTTTAGGTCGACCGCTATGAGGTTCATCTTCAAGGCTGAAATCTCCAGAACGAAATTTGTTGAGCCATTGCCGCACAGCTTTCTCTAGCACTATTGGGCCCCCACACCTGGTTAATTTGTTGAGCTGTTTCGATTGCGGATTGCCCCAATTTATAGCCGAAGAAAAAAATCGTCCGAAGTGCTCTTTTCACATGCTTGAAAAAATCTTGAAAAAAGAGGGTTTATCAAGCAATGGTGAAACGGCAATTATACCATCAGATAGCGCAAGAAATTCTCTACAGGATGTGCTACTGAGAAGCAAGGCAGAATGAGTTTTTAATCAGCAGTGAATGTACAAAGATTAGGTGCACAAAACGCTAAGAACTTTCCGGACAACCTAATATTTGGTGTAAGGTGAGGATGGGAAGGGAGGAGCTGCAGAAGGTTGCACACCTGTCTTCTACACCCGTAAACGAAGGCTCTGTAACGCAAGAGCGACTTCTTTATGACTTTTTAGATGGACTTGTAATTGAACTACATACCGTGATAAATTACCCGCGTTCTAAGCTTGAACTCGAGCCTGCGGTTCTCGAGTTGTTCATCGAGCATCTGGGCCAGAATAGCGCACGCCGATCGCACTCGTTTTCGGAAATTGTCATTGGGTTGCATTTCCAGAGCAACGAAATTCGGATGGCGACTCCACACCTAGTACAAATTACGAAATAGTTTTGAAATGAAAATATCATTGACTTGTACTATCATGGGTCTGAGAATCAACTTAGATTCACAAAATCCATTTATTTACGAGTTCGCGGCTATTCAGACTGCCACATCACTAACCATCCTGGAAACTGGAATGCAGATTCCGCGAGAAATCAAGGAGGCCAGTTCACATGAGTGAAGCTACAGTCGTCATCCGAGCACTTGATTGGGCGGCTAAGAAGTTGCGACGCATTTGCCAGCGCGTCAACGACGCTTAGCGATTCAGCTCTTCTCGGCCTAATTTGACCTTTTTCCCCTATTCTTCGTGTGTTTTCTGGTTTTTTTTTCAATGTAATTGTTTTATAAGTGTGTTAGGAAATGTGGACTCCTTTTTTCGTTTTTGCAATAGCGTTTTTTTTTTCTGCGTTTTCATTCAAGGTATTTGTTTCAATGTCTGCTTACTGTTTAATTGTACGCAAAAACCAGAGGAATCTCAATCATTACCTTGTGAAGACAAGGAACAACTAATCTTGAGAAAAGCAGCCAAAACAGTGTAAATTAGGGAGAAAATGGCTAAAATAGGCTGGAAACAGCTGATCGCCGCGCTCGTGACACGCCGCAGCCGCGTCGCGACCCTTGGCCGCCTAATCAAGTGTGCGGATAGCGACTGCAAACCCTTGCTGATTCATGCGCACGGTTTCACCCGAGACTCGATCCCCTGCTCCCTAACTTTGTGTGGACGTGTGTCAGTGCATCACTGCGTCCACGTCTTACCCTCCCACCTCAAGACTACTATAAAGCCGCATAAACTAAGAGGTGGATCTTCATGTGATTGCAACCAGAGCTGTAGAAGTGTAGCTGCGTACTTTCAATTCATAACATGTGGCGGTTTGGCTTCTGAGGAGATGTTCAGAAGGTGATCTTGTCCACGCAAAGATGGGGATACGTTTTGTATCTAACATGCGAAATCCCACGAACAACGATTCTGCGTCCATGTTCGAGTGAAGTACGCAGCCACGCCCACTCCATGGCTGAGATGTGTAGTGTACACAAAACAGTGTTCTTGTGGTACTTTTCAACAACAGCCGTCTTTTTTTGCAAAAGAACTCAAAGTAGAGCAGTAATTGAGGCCAAGTAAAGGCTCAATTTCGAAGTGTTTCAAAGCGCTAGCACCCTTTCATCGCCTTCTTCTGTTACAGCACTGAATTCCTGTCTTTTGAATTTTCTACTCCTATTTTATCACAATCAATTTCCCCGCCTTTTCTTATAGTCCATATCCGACAGCCACAGAGGCGTGTTTACGGAAAGCGGCGATAGTCCCAGGACGAAAAAGATATAGAGAATTGTAACGGAGATCAGCACCGAAAGTACGGCAGCCATCTTGCGGCGCGCCCTTTTCGCTTTAAAACGGACGAGTTCACGGTCTTGGCAACTGTTGCGCAACGTAGTAGTGTACTTCCCGATAGTACCTTGAAACAATGCACACTGCCAACCAAACATTCTGGTTCCTGGTGCGAGCAGCTTCGCCATAACCCAACCTTGGACAAATAAGGATTCACCAGTGGCCGCAACTGCTCCACTAAAACCAGGACAGCCTTCAAACGTTTGTACCTCTTCGTTTCTTTTGCGTAGTTCCTCCACAGTTTTCCAGGTCTCTTTAAAATCTTCTTTTGTTCTTCTACTTCCAAAGATGAACATATCTTCTTCAACCGCTATAGGTCGCATATATATCACCTACAATTCGATAATCAGAAAATAGTACAGCACATTATAATTATATCATTCCACAAGCTCGTGTTGTTTTTCAGAAATCAACATTACTTCACTTTACTGCTACCAAAAACTTTCCACAGGACGCGAAGCCGTTCGAAGTTGGCCAAACATTTTCTTCTGTGGTAAGGCCAAACGTCAGTACTTGAAGTGCGCTTCCAACGTGGTTCGACCGATTTGCCCAGAAGAATTACAGCTTTGAAGGCCCCAGTCGTTGTGCTGACAAGCTTCGACGAGTGCTGCTCAATACAACGCTCATTGCAAGCTGATCCCTGTGCGCGAGGTAACAGCAAAGAGTAATGTTTTGAAACCATGTCAGAGCCATGTGTCAGAGCAGGACTTGCTTTTTGTCGCCTTACAAGACCCACATCCAGTCCGAAGGCTCTGTTGGCACATTTAGAAAGTCACTAGCAAACAATTGCTTACCTCATAGTTGTCGTTCTTTTTTTATGCATGTTTGCTTGGAGTTTTGTATTCTGTTTCTGTTCTATTTCATGTTTTATTTTTTGACTTTGCCTTACACAACGTACTGAATAAAGATAAAGACATGTGTGTCGCCATTTATGTCAGAGAAAAGTTCCCAAGTTTGGACAAATCTTCCTGTCGCACTCCACTGTGCAGCAAGCGCTCGATGGGACATGCGTTTTATACTTTGCGGCAGCGTAGCGTAGCGCTTCCAGCGTACGCCAGCGGCAGTGCCGGGGAGAGGATGCATATCGATCTAGCGTTCCCAGCGTCACCAGCGTAACGCTGGCGTACGCTTAAGCGTCTCGCCAGCGTTTCCACTGCCAGCTCTGTTTTTGCTGGCATTTGCAGCGGCCAGGGAGTAGAGACTATGTGGCCAGAGACGCGCAATCGATGTGTATTGTAGAGACTATGTGGCCGTCAGAGACGCGCAATCGATGTGTATAGTAGAGACTGAGGGCGAGTGAGAGACGCGCAATCGATGTGTTTTGTACCCTCCAGCTCTCCCATAGTCTCTACTCCCCTGCCGCTGCAAACGCTAGCAAAACGCTGGTGACGCTGGGAACGCTAGATCGATATGCATCCTCTCCCCGGCACTGCCGCTGGCGTACGCTGGAAGCGCTACGCTACGCTGCCGCAAAGTATAAACGCAGCCTTAGATGTGGTGACGTGATGCTGAGTCTTGTGAAGCTGCGTTCGTACTGGGTGTGCAGCAGTAGGATCGTACAGTGCCGCAGTAGTGGGCGTGGCCTGCGACGTCATTGCGGCGAGAGGACGAGTTACACGTCTGGCCATTTGAATTGGGATGTTAAAGGGACGGGTTACGTGACACCTTGAACTTTTGTGCATGGTCCTGTTACGAAACCCTGTGACGCAGACGGATAGAGGGCAGCGGCTGCCAAAGCATCGAAACGTGCAAAAAACGTATGGCGAGCCAGGAAACGGGATTTTTCAAGGGGAGGGGACTCCGGGGTGGGTGAGCTACTTATAGTCGGTGAAAAGCTGGAGTGAGCGAAGTCACAACGGCCATAGAGTGCCATGCGGACGAGAGAGTGCAGAGAAAAAGAGAAGATCGACGCGTTCAAAGGATTGGGTTCAAATTGTCCGTAGACCAAAGGGACGGTAGAAATTGATATCAGCCAGCATCGAATCTTATTTACATTGTCTTTAGTTTTTTCTTTGTTGTTCCATGGAGAATGAAAAAGGTTCATCGGTGCATCAACTTCATTAGTGCATCAACTCGGCTAATCTTTCGTAGGAACTAAAGTGGAAATCTAGGCAAATCCGTGAACGATGTGTTCCCTTGTAATTCAATCAGAGGAGATGATCATTGGGCAAGTTTTTGAAAGGTTCGTTGCTTCTCAATGCCTGTTCTAGCCGAGCTCTTGAAGCTAGAATAAGGAAGAAGCAATAGGCCCAGGTAGGAGACAACTTATCGAATCAGTCTGAATCAATTGCTCCAATCGCAAAGCCGGCGAGCAAATGCACGTTCAAACTGCTGAGCCCTCGCGGCACGTTGCACCGCGTGCCGGATGATCCTATTGCACGTCTCCCGTTCATACCTTGCGGCAGCTCCATCGGCGACCAATAGCGTCCACTAGCGTTCCGAGCGTCCTGGCACCGTCAGCGATCATGGAAGTATAGATATCGATCCAACGTCTGCGACCGTCTACTAGCGACCGACAGCGTCCGGGATTGGAAAGTATGGGGCGCTAGCAGGGTAGCGGACTGGCGGAGAGTGTGAGGCGATAGGAGGGAACCAGCTGTCCGCTACCCTCCTATCTCCCATATCTTTACCAGCTTCTGCTATCCTCCTATCTCCCCATACTCTACCAGCTATCTGCTACCCTCCCATCGCGCCATATTCTCCGCTCCCGGACGCTGGAGGACGCTAACAGACGCTGGCAGACGCTAGAATATCTATAACTTATTCGACGCTATCGACGCCTGTCGAGCGCTGGTGGACTGCCGCGGCAGAAAGAAATGGAACGCAGCCGTTGGGAAGTCCCACTGACATGCAAAGCGCCCATTTGTGAGTGTTCAATTTGTGCGGGCCCATATGGAAGGAGAGCTGACTGCGCGTGCTTGCTACTTTCCTTTTTATTCGCCCCTTCCTGCGTCCATGCAATCATCATATCTACAATGCCGTGACTGCTGTTTTCTGTGCCCTTTGTTAAATTCTGGCTTTTGTTTTTTTTGTTTCGACAGCATTCTTATTTCGAGCCTATGCAAACTGCTGGGCAATAGTTGTTGTTGTTCACTGCTTGATAAAATGTTCCTGATTCGTTTCCTTAACTTGCCACTGAATATGCGCCGTCGTATTATATTGCAAGGGAGTACGTCTTCCTAACATTCGGGGGTATTTACCGCTCACCGGTTCCAACCGGAAAGCGGGAGTATAGCAACTGTCCTTTTTTTTCTCGGATCCGCCGCTTCGGCTTATGAATGCCATTCACTGGGAACTTCTTGAGGTATGTTTCACCATCAAAGCGGAGGAGAGTGCCGCCAAGACGAAAAGCCGATGATTGCAAAAACAACAGGTGGACGAATCTGCTTTGGCCCGACATGGGAACTGCATACGTAAAAACTGACGCGTCTCCAAATTCTTAGGATACTGTCCATGTTCTGGGGCTTTATGAACTTATTGCGACACCCCGGGATTTGTACTGTATGTCCCTTCGGCAGACCGGGCGACTGCATGAAGTCGGCAGTTATCTACTCGATACACTGCCAGAATTGTGGCAGTGAGTACATAGGTGAAACAGGGCGCCCCCTTCGTGTGCGGGTTAAAGAACATCTGGAGGGGCTCAGTAGATCTAGGGTCCAGACTCCACTCGGAGCTCATTGAGTTGAACACGTCATTTGACGTCTCTGTGGTCATCTTAGCGCAGGAGCCCGAGATCACGGCGCGAAAGACATTGGAGGCATTTTGGATTACTGCCAAGGACCCTAAAATAGAAAGGAGAGTGTGTGGCTGTGACCCGCGAACTCGCGCCTTTCCTCGACCTCTGTAAGTTTTGATCTACCGTGAGGTCGGAGGGTGTAACTGGTAATGGTTAATCCGCATTCAAGTCAACCTCAGGGTGGTCGAGCCCGCACTGCGGCGTCTAGATCAAGGTGAGCCACAACACTATCGATCGATACCCCGTTTGGTTGTTTTACTAGTTTAGTGAAATTGTCTTGAGAATTGTTGAGACGTTTCAGCGGGCAGGTCTCATGTGTTTTTTGTCCATTTCAGGCTCTGACGAAGGCGAAGACGCCGAAACGTTGGCCTAATAAAGCATTTCAATCTTGTCGAGGCTCGAAGACAAACTACATCGAATATCTCCAAATTCTGTTTCTGGAGTTAACATCTTCCCCACCCTCCGTAGAGTCCGGACATTTCGCCTTCAGATTACCACCTTTTCATCGCCTTGGAGATTAGCTTCAAAGATAAGCGATCGCTATGACGTGAAAGATATTTCGATGCCAATTCCGCTACATCTTTGAAGGTGGGATTGAGTCGTCGCCTGCACGTTTGCACCAAGAGATAGATATCGATGACAATGATATTTTGTTAAAGCCGAATTTTGGCAACTCACCCCATGGTATCTGTCAATTGGCACTCGATCGCACATGCCGGCTTTTTGCACAAGTAGACCGAGATGTGCCTTAAATTATTGGTATGCATGATACTGATGACTTATGGTTAGTTAGGCAAAAATAATATGCCGCTGAAAACAGAGCAGGAAATTCTGCTTTCCTTAGCGCCTGGTTTTGTGACTGGACGACATACTAAGCAGTGAAAGGCAAAACCACTGAATACAGGTCAGAGGTCAGAGACGACGGATGAGGGATCGGAAAGAGTAGCGAGATTGCAGGCACACCGAATGGCAGTGAGGGCTCTGCTCTGGGGGCTACAGGGCCTGAACTATAATCCCCTTGCGCGCTTACTATACATTTTTCAACCGCGAAAACGCCAGCATTTCCATTTCCAACCCATTTGTCTCTTGGAAAGCGCCCTATGGGTCCACAGCTGCACTCAGCTGCCACTTTCTCCGGTCAAAATTGCAACGAAACGGTGCTAAAGGGTAGTAATACACGAATGGCGTCTTGACTCCGTCCGCGCTGCTGCAAGACCAGCCACATAGTCAAGTCTGCCACATAGTCTGAGCATAGTCAAACTCGCTACATTTCTGCGTCCTAACACTTCTGGTTGTTCTTTACCAACGAGTGCGCATTTCGCCTGACTCTTCGTATCAACGCGATGCTGCACCTCGAGGATAGTAAGCGCGGGATCGGGAGACAGCTTTCGGGCATCACTAACCTCTAGCTCGGTTCCCATGCACTTTTGAGCTGTGAAAGTGGTTCCA